CATGAATTTGAGCAAACTCCAGGAGAGAGTGAAGGACAGGGAAGCCTGGTATGCTGCAGTCCACGGGGTCGCCAGGAGTTGGACACGACTTAGCAACTAAACAAGAACAACGAAACTTTTCTTAAAGGAAGAAGAAAATAAATAGCTTGGAATTCGCCAGCTGTGTGGTCTGCATCAGCTCCACGATGGAAGCGCTGAAGCAGCCCCAGACAAGGTGCAAGTGAGTGGCTGTGGCTGTGTTTCTACAAACCGTCTAGACAGAAGGTGGTGGCAGCCCCATGGGCAATAGCTTGCTGATTCCTGATCGAGGGGCCCCCGGTGTCTTAGATGGAATCCAGTTGGCATCACCCTGTTTTCTTTTGACCACGATGGAGGAACAGTGGCTGCCAAGCAGAAGCTGGCCTCAGCAACTCGCGGGAGACCAAAGAAGCTGGGCCAAGTCCTCATCCTTGCAGAGGCCAGTTTTAGCTTCTAATTTGCTCTTACACTAAGCAGACTCCCAGACAAACAGGCCAGAAATTCTGGGATCTCCCTAAGCTCATCCCTTATATGAGGAATGGACATTTGAACCAATTAAATTTGAATCTCAAAGGACAAGGAGACTCTGACATTTAAGTTGGAATAGCAAATGGACCTTCTCTTTCTTTCACTTACTGTTACAAAAAAAAGATTCTTGTGAAGTTTTCCTAGAATGATTTTCTTTATTTTAGTGCATTAGAAACTTGAGCATGGAATAGAGGCATAACAAAATCCTGGAGGTCCAATATCATGTATTATTTCTCATTGTATGGGATAGGACAGTTACAAAATAATTGTTTGATATATGTCTGCTTCTTGAATCCATTTATTTTTAAAAAATTGATCCCATAGAACAGACCTTTAGTAACAGAACAAAAAAGAATTTATTTTAGATACATCTTACTGCAATTTTCTTGGAAACATGATTTTCAATAACATGTCATTTTAACTACCAGTAAAATTGTTAGGTCATGATTACTAGTGAACTTTAGCTACATTAGAAAGACCAAATCATAATATGTTTTAATGGTGCCATTAAATGAAGACTATTTCAGATGGTCATTCCTCTAGGAAATAAGTTTTTCTTAATTCCTCAGCAAGAGTTCTATCCATCAGCACATACCTACCTAAGCGTTTTTGACCACAAATCTATTTATGTTTCAAGCACAACTCGAGGACCACTTATAGACCAGACATATTCAAACAAGACACAGGGCACTAGCAGAAATCAACACAGCCCTGGTGTTTCACTCCAGAATATTTTACTGTACAAAGAACAAATACCTTTTATTTCCAGAGCCTTTTTGTGAAGCACTTTCATGTAAATTATCTCACTTCTCCTTATATTTAAAGCAGAAAAAGCAAATGTTTTCCCACTTTTAAAAATAGAAAACAAACACAATGGGTGCTAACTGGCTTGACCGAGGACACACAGGTAATAAGTCTTAGAACAAAATCTCTAGCTTGTGTGTATTTTTTCCACCATATTCCCCTGCTTCAAACAAACATAAAATTGTTAAGGGTTTTGAATGAAAAATGCTGCTATTTAGATATTTCTCCTCAATTCCAGTAAAATCATTTAGCAGAGTTTCCAAATACTCTTCTTTTCAGAGGTTGCTCTGTACTTTCACGAAAAGAATCAATAATGATTTAAATTATGGTAAAGCAATTTGTAGAATGCTACTTTAATAGGGAGCATGAAAGGCTCAGAATTCTTCAGTAATAAAAAAATTTAATATTCATATACACACAGTAAGATATTCTACAGAACAATAATTAATAGCATCATGACAATGTGTCATGTTTTATTAGTTAAAAACTGTTTTGACTTGCTTTTAATACCCAGATTTATATATATTGATGGGTGGAATGATTCATAATGCCATTTTACTATTAAACTACCCAAGTTTCACTTCATGTTTTAAACCAAACAATTAATTTTGCTCATGCGTACCATCTCTGAGCAGACTGACGTGAATTTGCCATTTATTCTAATTATGCATGCAAAATAAGTTGCAGAAAGCAACATAGCTGAGCTGCGTGCTTGCTGTTTAATATTTATGGTGCTCCAGCAATGATTAAGCAGCATGTACAACAAAATCCTTGCTCTTCCAGGCATGTAAATTTCAATGTTTTGACAGAATTTATAGTTAAGATACTGGTTTCGTACTGACCAGGCCATTAGCTCTGTGAATCTGTGAGCCATCCTGCTGGGCCCCAGAGTCATGAATTTGCTCCTCCTGTTTACAATTAACCTTGCTTTATGCTATAGCCACTAAACTACACAGGAACTTCAGTCAACTACCTGAAAACCACACCACCTTGGCGACTCAGGGAGGGCAGGATAGATGAATCAGTAAGCATTCGATTTTGCTTCTAGAAAAGCAACTCAAAGCAACTGACAAATTCATAACACCTTTATGAAAGTCCACACCTTTTAAAAGAAGCTCATGGCCGTGCCTTTGTTGATTTCTGTGTTCATTACAGGTATTCTGGCATTGACTTTTTTATTTTCTATTGGTATCAAACTCAGTCTAGTTTCTACCTTGGTGAAGAACAAGAAACTATTGTTTCTTCTCAAACCATAGACCTTATCAAATGTGGGGGAAAAGTGATCACAACTTGAGTGAATAGTCAGAAATCATCTTATGATCTTTCTAAAGCAACGACACTAGTTTTGTGTGACTCAGAGAAGCAATTTCATTGTTTGGAACTTGGTCACCTTTAAGAGTAATTAGTGGGTTTTCCCTGGAAGTGAGAACTGTTTCATCAGCAAATCAGCATCAACCCACTAATAAACATTCCTTCTGAGACAAACCCAATGTGCTTAATGTTTTCCCTAGATCTAGAAGTTTCTGGATAAATTACAGATTATGAGTGACCAATAGCAACAGGTGGCTTTCCCATGTGGCTCAGTGGTAAAGAATCTGCCTACCAATGCAGGAGACACAGCAGATGCGGGTTTGATCCCTGGGTCGGGAAGATCACCTAGAGAAGGAAATAGCAACCCACCACAGTATTCTTGGCTGGAGAATCTCTTAGATAAAGGATCCTGGTGGGCTCCAGCCCATGGGGTCACAGACTTGGACATGCCTGAGCACACACACATTAACAACAGGTGCCTCTTGGCATATCAATTGGGTGGTGGTGGTTTAGTCACTGAGTTGTGTCCGACTTTGGACTACTCGGACTGCAGCCCACCAGGCTCCTCTGTCCGTGGATATTTCCCCAAGCAAGAGTCCTGGAGTGGGTTGCCAGTTCCTCCTCCAGGGGATCTTCCTGACCCAGGGATCAAACCTGCATCTCCGGCAGCTCCTGCATTGCAGGCAGATTCTTTACCGCTGAGCTACTGGCGAAGCCCCATGACATCCTACAAGCTCCTCCTAAACTNTTCCTCCTCCAGGGGATCTTCCTGACCCAGGGATCAAACCTGCATCTCCGGCAGCTCCTGCATTGCAGGCAGATTCTTTACCGCTGAGCTACTGGCGAAGCCCCATGACATCCTACAAGCTCCTCCTAAATTGGCTTTAGCTCAAAACACAGTTCATGTCAAAAATGAGTTATCAGGGAGAAGAGAATGGCAACTCACTCTAGTATTTTGCCTGGAGAATCCTAGGGACAGAGGAGCCTGGCGGGCTACAGTCCATGGGGTCACAAAGAATCAGACATGACTGAGTGACTTAGCACACACATATCCAGTGTATAATTTTTAGTGCTGTGTAAAGCAAATAAAGATTCTTCTCAAAATATTATAGCTTAAAAATGGATAAACACTTTCTTGGTGATACTTAAACCATTTGATTTTAGTTTAAAAAAAAGCTGTTTTAAAAATGTCCACAATTCAGGACTTCTATGTATTATTGAAGATGCATTCTTTCCCTTTTCTATTAATAACTTCACCTCTCCCATTCCAAATAGTGGTTGCTTGCGATGTTGATTTAGTAACAAATATAATATTTTATGTCATTTGGCTTTTTTATATTCAAAATGTCCAGCTATACGGGAGGGAAAAATCACTACTGCACTTCAAATAAATCCTCCATGAGATTTTCCTGTGTCGATGAATAAGAAAGAGCTGCCCTATTGTTTTGCAAACAGTGGCTCTTCTCTAGCCTATAAATAATGGAAAGGAAAACCTCAGAAAAGGTTTTCTAATTCCACTGGCTTCAGGCTAACTACCCAGCATGCCTTCTTGTTTACAACTGCAAGTACAAATGTATGATTTTTCCCCTTTTCACTCAAAACATTAGCTTTTCGGCTTACGGAATTAACCTCTGCCATGCATCTATGCTGTTTGCTTGCGGTTGCTATTTTAAACACTGAATCTGTTCTGCACTTTTTACCATAAGGCTCCGAGGGTGTTATATAAACTGCTACTCCAGGAATTCTTTTTATCTCACATAAGGTAAATGTCAAGCCCTCATCCAAATGTACTGATAGACAAGCTAGAAGCTGCTGGAAACCTTTTGCACACAGGTAGCTGTATCAACCATGTTTCTAGCTTCTAAAACCAGCCTGATGATGCCTGATATCTCATGACAGACACGCATCTGCTAGTTTGCCCCAGTGTCCTCCCCTTGACCTTCTCCCTCCCTCATCACCCGCTCAGGAATCCTCTTCTGGAGGGAGCTGCAAATACAAGCCAATTACCCCAGAGTCCACACCCCAGTAACCTCAGATCTCCCGTTTCTCACACTTCAGCCCTGCCTTGACCACCAGACAACTAGCAAGAGCCCCTGTGCCCAGAGCCTGCGGAACCGGCTCAGAATACTCAGCCCTAAGCCTGCTTCCCTTTCTTCAGCTGATCCTTCCCTGTCCCTGATGCTAAATCACTCAGTCATGTCCCACTCTTTGCGACCTTATGGACTGTAGTCTGCCAGGCTCCTCTGTCCACGGCATTCTCCAGGCAAGAACACTGGAGTGAGTTGCCACGGCCTCCTCCAGGGGATCTTCCCCACCCAGGGACGGAACCCAGGTCTCCTGCATTGGCAGATGAGTGCTTTGCCATGGGAGCCATCTGGTAAACCCCTGTTGGATGTACTGTAAGTCAGATTTTCTGTTAACATAGTGTATTTTAAAAGAGAAACCTAATTGAAGACGAAGGGATCTCTCTTTATCTCTACTCCCCAATTGTCTTTCTCTATTATAGACTTTTTGCTTGTATTATTTGAATTATGTGACACATCTATTAACCCATTGCTATGTCTACATACAACATGGGACAAAGTACAGTGGGAATCCTGAGATTTAGTTGGACCCCAAAGACAAGAGATGGAATTAAACAAACCTTTCCATATCACTTTTATGTCTTAGATTCTGAGACTTAGTCAAGAAGTGAAAATATGCTGATACCTCTATTTGCAAGACTGAAATTATTCTGTTTGCTTTGCCATTCCTTCTCTATCTCCATCTGTTTGTTTTTTATGTAAATTTTGCTGGAAGAAATCTGATATAATTGCTGTGGCTAGTCTAGGAGGAGGGAATAGAACGTAAATGTGGAATGCAGAATGGAACTTTCTGAGTTAATACTTTTTAGAAACTCTCTGCGATTTTTTTGGTGCCCCACCAAAAAAATCAAATGTAGATTGAGTGCTGCTCAGTTATTTTGATGCAAATCTACTTCTTCAAACCCAAGTGTATTTATAATGAGAGAGATGCCTTCTAAGGTCCCAGTCTGATCTACCAGTAACCCTCTATATTCTTATGAGGAGCAAATAGTCTCAGATATCTTGCTGAGATTTAAACCAAATCAGAACATTTAGTTCGGAGTGGAATGAAAAAGTAGCTTATCCACTATGATCACTGATAATCTTGTATGTGTTGTCTAGAATCTTTTAACTTTCTTTCACTTACATGGAATGCTTACTTATTCTGGGAAGAGGCATATGTGAGAGGGCGTGTGCATGCTAAGGCACTTTATTCATCTCCAATTCTGCAACCTTGTGGGCTGTAGCCCACCAGGCTCCTCTGTCCATAGGATTCTCCAACCAAGAATACTGGAGTGGGGTGCCATGCTGCCTCCAGGGGATCTTCCTGACCCAGGGATCGAACCCACATTACTTACCTTTTCAACATTGGCAGGTGTGTTCTTCACCACTATCGCCATCTGGGAAGCCCATACGTGAGAGCACTGTGCAATGAATCCCCTCTTTTGGGTTTTGAGACTAAGCCAACATAATTGTGAGCACACACAGTAATATCTCAAAAATAATGATTGATTATTTGGCTGTAGATCTTCATAAGCCTCATATATTTGTGCAAATGTCTTTCACTATTCTTTATTTGCACTCTTTTGAAGAATCTAAATAACTTGAAAAGCATATAAACAGGTTCTCCTTTGAATGCTACATTGATAACTTCTGTCCTCTCACCCTTAACATAAACTGCAGAAGTATCTCTTAATTATTGTAGATTTGGGCGGTAGAATATGAGTTGTAAGCATCAGATCTCCATTGGTTATTGGGTTAAGACATAAGGAAATGAGATCAGCACTTCACATGATCCTTCGGGACAGGAAACCAAGAACCTTCAGTGTTCACGGGTGAACAAAAGTTCAAGATCTTTTGATCTTGATCAAAAGTTCAAGAGCTGATGATCAGATGTTCAAAAAGTTTACAAGCCCATTGTTCAACAGAAATTTATTAGTAACTAAACTATATAAACTTACAATCAAATAAATTATACTAAATGCAAAGGCAATAAATACTCAAAACTTCTCATTTATCATTTATTCTCCTACATTGCTCTGTTCCCTACATTCTTGAGGTTGTTGATTTTATTGTCTCCTGTGGAGGGAGTACAAACTAACCATGCTACCACACAGCTCTTTCTATTCTTTCTTTAGGAAAGTCTTGTGGACAGTTTGACATCAGCTATAGTGGGAGAACTCACACCACAGAAACCCGCAAATACTACACTTCAGGTTTGACTTGTTGTTTTGTTGACTGTTTAGATATAGAAAGTGGTTAAAAACACCTTTGCACAGCAAAGGATATCATAGATTAAATTAGAAAAAAGCTGAATAAATGGGAGAAAATATTTGCAAATGATATAACTGATGAGAACTTCCCTGTAGCTCAGTCAGTAAAGAAACTGCCTGGAATGAAGGAGACCCAGGTTCAGTCCGTGGATCAGGAAGATCCCCTGGAGGAAATGAAAGGCAACCCACTCCGGTATTCTAGCCCGGAGAATCCCTTGGACAGAGGAGCCTGGTGGGCTGCAGTTGATGGTCTAATATACAACGTATATAAATAGCTTATGCAGCTCAACATCAAAAAACAAACAACCCAATTAAAAAACGGGCAGAAGACCTGAACAGACAGCTTTTCAAAGAGGACATTCAGATAGCCAACAGGCATATGAAAAGATACTCAATATAATAAATCATTAGAGAAATGCAAATTAAAACCACACACACACAAAAGGAACGCCCCCCCCACAACACACAATAAGACGTCACCTTACATCTACCAGAATGGGGTCATTATAAAGGACAGAAATAACAAACGCTGGCAAAGATGTAGACAAAAGGGAACATTTGTTACTCTCAAGTGGGAATGTAAATCTGTGTAGCCACTGTGGAAAAACAGTATGGAATATGGAGTTTTCTCAAAAACTAAAAATAGAGCTGTTATTAATATATGACCCAGCAATTTCATTCCTGAGTATATATTTGAAAAAAATGAAAACACTAATTTAAAAAGATGCATGCACTCCAGTGTTCATAGCAACATCATTTAAAATTGCCAAAATATGGAAGCAACCTAAGTGCACCTCAAAAGATGAATGGATAAAGATGTAGAAAAGTACGCACATACACAGAGGAATAACTCAACCACAAAAAAGAATGAAATTTTGTCATTTGCAACAACATGGATAGACTTATGCTAAGCGAAAAAAATCAGAGAAACACAAAAACAGTATTATACTTCAATTAAGAAGCAAATTATAATAAAGAATACTTTGTGTCTGTAACTATCACATTATAAATGGCACCAAAATGGAGGGAATGTTGTTCCAGTGCTCAAAAGCATTTTCCAATTCAAAAAAGTCTCTTTTATTATTGATGAACTAGTGAAGTTCTTCGTACATTTTTGTTGTTTCACATTCACCTTGCTCATTAATGTAAACAAAGTCCTTAATGAATATTCATTTATGGGTACACTCGGTAGGCAATTGCAACCATAAGTTGACCATGAAAATAGTTTTTCAAAAATCAGTGAAAGCATTCCATGAGATTGAATTCGCTATGTGAAATTGACAGGAGAGTATTATATATTTCTAAATTGTTTGCTACACATCTCTGTTATCATTAAAAATATTTCTCACTTCTGCTGAGACATACCTGGATAATAATTTAAGTGCTCTGAGGTAGCTGCAGGAATTTAATTACTTTGCAGAATATCAACAACCTGGCAGAAACACTTCTTGCTGCTTGCATGGGGAAGTAGTAAGATCTTAATGTCCTTAGTGTACTAAGACCTTGCAGCACTCAAGTGGGAAGCGGGTGAGCAGGAAGAACTAGTAATGCCCACCTGCTACGTGTTCCCGTATAGTTACTCCTCCAAAACGTGCCCACAGCAGTGAGGTGAAGACAGAGGTGAGACAGATGGGGCAGAACTCTAGATGACTTGTCTCCTTGCCCTGCGCCCTCTGAGAGGTGCCTGTAACACTCTCTGTGCCCCTGGGGTTCTGCCAGGCTTGGGAGAAAAGCTTCCCACGTCATGCACTTGCACACTGGTGTGTAAGAAATCTCTGGAACCATCCCTGTGGTTTCGCCTGTGGAGATGCCTGCACACCCTGGACTCTTCCCTAAGAGCCAAACTTGGAAAGCTCAGAGCCACATTCTATCTGGGGGTGGGAGGGGACCCCAGAGGCAGCACTGGAGTCAGCCTCTTCAGACAACCCTGGACTCTTCCCTAAGAGCCAAACTTGGAAAGCTCAGAGCCACATTCTATCTGGGGGTGGGAGGGGACCCCAGAGGCAGCACTGGAGTCAGTCTCTTCAGACAGCATCTTGACCCCTGCTTTCCAAGGCCCTCAGGAAACCCAGGTCTTCATAACATGCTTCCCGGGCAACCAGATTTGAAGCATCATGGAGGGAGAGTGCCAGAGGTCAACACATTCACCGTCTTCACTCTCTCCTGTTTTATTTCTTCACTGTCATGATGCACCCAGCTCGGGGAGTTTGAGTAGCTGATGTTGTGACAATTTGCTGATGCCGTGCTGCTTAGATTTCCTGCTTTTTCTTAATGCGGACAATTTACTGAGCTGCAATGAGAATGACCTCTGTTCTGATGAATTGATTCTGCTGACATTTAGTATTTAAGGAGAACAAAGACAGGTAGAGGAAATGGATGAAGTAGATGAAGGAACAGCTACAGAATCCAGCAGCCCCTGAAACTCAGCATCTTCCTGCCAGGATAGCATCATGGCTTCCAAGAGTCTGCAGAGTGAGGATGCAGACATTCAATTCTTTTTTGTGCTACTGAGAACCATCCTCCCAGAAAACCACACAAATATTAGTGCTATTTTCTCAATAATTTTACAGAGAAACTTAAAATGAAAATTTGTTGCCCAAAGCAAATGGTGTTTAAAAAATCCCTAGATAGATAGATATGTGTGCTTAGTCACTCAGTCATGTCCAACCCTTTGTGACCCTTTGCACTGTAGCCCACCAAGTTCCTCTGCCCATGGAGTTCTCCAGGCAAGAATAGTGGAGTGGGTTGCCATGACCTCCTCCAAGGCATCTTCCCAACCCAGGGATCGAACCCAGGTCTTCCACATCGCAGGCAGATTCTTCACCTTCTGAGCCATGAGGAAAGCATAGATCTAGCCATAGACTATCTAATCAATAGACAAAGATACAGATATAAATAAAGATATATCTTCAAGCTTTTTTTTTTTTAAGAGACAAACCAGTAACATAAAATAAATATGTAAATAACCAAGAACACTTATTTTAAAACTTTCTAAAGAAATCATCTGGTTTGTTCTAAAATCTAAATTCATTGCTTGGAAAAAAAAATCACATTCCGTACTGCCAGTGTTTACAAGTCAACACATTATAATTGTCCATAGAAGAGGTTACATACCAAATCAAGGTCCCTAACACTAGACTGGAATAAGAACCCTCTCAGATCCTCTCCAATTTGCAGATCCTGGGATTGACACATCTCCCATATCTGGCTCAGCGGTAAAGAACTCGCCTGCTATGCAGGAACCGCGGGAGACGTGGGTTCCATCTCCGCATCTAGAAGCTCCCCCTGGAAAAGCAAATGGTGACCCACTCCAGTATTCTTGCCTGGAGAATTCCACGGATAAAGGAGCCTGGTGGGCTACAGTCCATAGAGTCGCAAACAGCCGGACATGACTGAAGTGACTTAACACTCACCCACGCACATCACCTTCTAACTTAGCCTAGGTATGTCAGAGTTTAGAGTTTGTAAAAGGGATCAGGGCTTTATTGGGCCTGGAGAGCACAGAAAGTTAAGGGTGGCATTCCCTTCTCTCCTGGTTCCTGAGCATCCAGGGTTCGCTTTAATGAAACCGAGACCTTGAGACCCAGATCAGGACACTTTGCTACTGGCTGGCCGGGCCACTCTAGCGGTGATGGGGCCTCTGCCTTCCAGCTGCAGAGCTGGGAAATGCACTCCCATCAGGAAGGACCGCATCAGGTGGGGAAGGACTCTGGGCCTTTCCAATCAAACTCTTTCCTTTGAAGCAGAAGCCACTGACAAAGGTGATTTTGCTGCTTTCTGCATATGAGTTAGGGCTTCCCTGGTGGCTCAGTGATAAAAGAATCCACCTGCTAGTGAAGGAGACAGCAGCTTCCACCCTGGGCTTAGGAAGGTCCCTGGAGGAGGAAACAGAAGCCCACTCTGGTATTCTTGTCAGAAGAATGCCGTGGACAGAGCAGCCTGGGCGGCTACAGCGGGCGACAGGGTCATAAAGAGTCGCACAAGACAGCATGCACACACATGCAGTTAAGAGCCCAAGGCCGTATTCGTCTTCTGTCTTAATTTGAAAAACATAACAGAGTAATTAACTTGGGTTTCCAATTTGCAAATAGACAATCATCAATAGAATTTAATTTGACCAAAATTCTAGGTTTTTGGAATTTATCTCAAATCCCCTAAGTTTTAAAAGCAGATGTTTTTGGGTCACCAAATCAGAGAAAGCAGGGTCGCACTTTATTGCCAATACCCAGATGTTTTCCTGTCCTGTTAATATATAAACCCTACAACTAAAGATCATCCATCTGGTCTACCAGCTGCCCAGTGCCTTTTCCAAAGTCTGGAGCTCTGCTGTGAGGTTGAGAGCAGCAGCTACATTTAGGTAAGCAGGGGACCCTCCTAGGTAGAAAAAGCGATGTGGATAGTACAGCTAATGGGGATAACAATGATGCCCTGTAGCATAAAAATGGAGACTAACAGCATTCCTGAGGGAGGACCCAGAAGTGAAGACCCATTAAGATAACGCTGCTGTGGTGTCAATTGAAAGGTGTGTGGGGTGTGTGTTTGCGTGTGTGTAGAACTTACTACTGGGAATTACACTTAGTCTCATATTAGTGTGGGAACAACAACAAAACTTAATCCACATTACAGTGCCTGGAGGGCCACCCAAGACAGACGGGTTATGATGGAGAGTTCTGATAAAACGTGGTCCACTGGAGAAGGGAATGGCAAACCACTTCAGTATTCTTGCCTTGAAAACCCCATGAACAGTATGAAAAGGCAAAAAGATAGGACACTGAAACATAAACTCCCCAGGTCGGTAGGTGCCCAATATGCTACCGAGGATCAGTGGAGAAATAACTCCAGGAAGAGTGAAGGGATGGAGCCAAAGCAGAAACAATGCCCAGTTGTGGATGTGACTGGTGATGGAAGTAAGTCCGATGCTGTAAAGAGCAATACTGCATGGG